GTCAAGTGGGTATTATCTGCAAGTGTGGGTGTCCTTGTGCATATGCCCTCTCTTCTTTTCAGCTGGACACTTCACTCTCCACTCTAGTCCTCTGTGGCTATGTCACTGACTCTGGGCCCAAGAGTCCCCAGGAGACCATCTATTCTTAGGGTAAAGACCTTCACTGTGACCCTAAACCAACTGAATTCTGTAATAGTATTAAAAGTACTATATTGGAGTACTGGTGTGGCTCTGGGGTTAATGCGCTGGACTGCGAGGTCAGTTTAAACCACAAAGTTGGTAGTTCAAGCTAACCAGCCGCTACTCAGAAACTCTATACAGGTCATTATGAGTCATGGCACTTAGAAACAACAACAATCAGAAGTACAGAGACCTGTATTGGTTGTTGACATCGAATCTAGGAAAGTTAAAAGAAAGCCACGAGGCCAAGGAGGCACATATGAAACGGAGTCCACCCTGGCAGATAAAAGCATCGTCAGACTGAAGAAATCCTACCTGTACTCAGTAACTCCATGTTAACCAGGCACCACTTGTCATCATCTTTGAAATGAGGCTGAAACAGCTGCTGTTTAATGGGAAATGTCTCTGCCCAACAGCTATTTCTGGCAGAATCATTTATGTGGAGGTGAAGTTAACCCTTGCTTATTCTCTCCCCTTAAATGCCCTGACTGATCATTTGACATGTGCAGAAAACCACCTCCTGATTCAATGGACGGTATAGAAAATGCCAAAAAGTACTCTACCTGTCATTTTCCATGGAGGATCTGAAAACAAAAATGAAAAATGTTAAAAAAAAAGAGTTAAAGAACAACTATAATTGTCACATCATTCCATAAATAACAAGTCTTTATTTCCTCTGGTTTTCTCTGCAATGTTTCCTTTAGTAAAAATGCTTGCATTGCATCAGGTACTAACAGACTCCTACAGATTAAAGAAATTGAACAAAGATGAAGAAAATATCCTACTTTAAAATCCATGGGCTTTACTGTTTTTAAAACACTCATATAAAACAACTCATGTTGTCATTATTGTTAGGTGCCAACGAATCAGTACCTACTCATAGCAATCCCATATACAAGAGAATTAAATACTGCCCAATTCTGCACCAACCTCACAACTCTTGCTACATTTGAGTCCTTTGCTGTTGCCACCGTGTCAGTCCATCTTGCTGGGGGTCTTCTTTTTTTCTCTCATCTGCTACTTTACCAAACATGATATCCTTCTCCAGTGACTGGTCCCTCCTGATAATATGTCTGAAGTAGGAGAGAAGAAGTCTGGCCATCCTGACTTCCAAGGAACATTCTGGCTGTATTTCTTCCAACACAGATTGGTTTGTTCTTTTGGCAGTGCATGGTACTTTTAATAGTTTCCTTCAATACCATAACTCAAATGCATCCTATGGTCTTCCTTATTCACTGTCCAACTTTCACATGTATATGAGGTTGTTGAAAATACCATGGCTGTAGTCAGATGCTCCTTAGTCTTCAAACTAACATCCTTGCTCTTGAACACTTTAAAGAGGTTTTGTGTAGCAGAGTTGCCTAATGCAAAATGTAGTTTGAATTCTGAACTGCTGCTTCCTTATGGTTGATCAGAGCAAAATGAAGCCCTTGAAAACATCAATCTTTTCTGCATTATATGAATGCTGTTTATTGGTTCAGTGGTGAGGATTTCTGTTTTGTTTACATTAAGGTGCAATCCATACTGAAGGTTGTAGTCTTTGATCTTCATCAGTAAGTATTTTAAGTCCTCTTCACTTTTAGAAAGCAAGATTGTATCATGTGCATATTGAAGGTTGCTAATGAGTCTTCCTCCAATCCTGATGCCATGTTTCTCTTCATATAACCCAGTTTCTCAGATTATGGGCTCACCATACAGATTGAATTAGTATGTGAAAGAATACACCCTGATGCACACCTTTCCTAATATGAAACCATTTGGTATTTCATGGTTCTGTTCAAACAACTGCCTTGTGGTCTATGTACAGGATCCCCATGAGGACAATTGAGTATTCCAGAATATTCATTCTCTGCAATGTTGTCCATAGTTTGTCATGAGCCACACTATCAAAAGCCTTTGCATGGTCAATGAAACTCAGGTAAACATATTTCTAGTATTCCCTACTTTAAGCCAAGATACATGTAAATTAGCAAAGATATTCCTCATTTCACATCCTCTTCTGGAGCTTGCTTGAACTTCTGGATGTTCTCTTTCAATGTACATTTGCAACAATTTTTGGATTATCTTTAGCAAAATTTTATTTGCAGGTGATAATTATGATACTGTCCGATGGTTTCCACATTCTGTTGGGTCCCCTCTCTTTGGAATGGGCACAAATGTGGATCTCTTGCAGTCAGTTGGTCAGGTAGTTGTCTTCCAAATTTTTTGGCATAGATGAGTGAGTGCCTCCAGTCCCACATTTTATCAAAAAGCATATAAAACAATTCATATAATGTTATTTCTTTATAAATAAACTTTTCAGAAAATTAACAGAGGACATTAGTTGCTGGCATTAACAAAAGTGGAAGCCCTCTTTTTGGGAATTACAATAGATTCTGTGGTATTTAAGAGAATCCTGTAGCACAATGGTTAAGCACTCGGCTGCAGTGACCCCACCAACAGTTTCATCAGACAAAAGACCTGGTGAACTACTCCTGTAAATATTATAGTTGTTGTTGTTATTAAGTTCCAACTCATAGTGACCCTGTATCGGGTTTCAGAGACTTGAAATCTTCATGGGAACAGAAAGCCTTATTTTTCTCCCATGGAGCACCGAGTGCGTTCAAACCATCAATCTTGTGGTTCACAATCCAGTGCCTATGGTCTTGAGCCATTGTGTTCCCAGAGTATTCTAGGAGCAATTCTCTACTCTGTCATACAGATCGCTATAAGTCAGAAATCAACTCAATGGCACACAAAAACAACAAAACGTTATATGTAAACTGAGGGGGTAAATGGAAAGAAGATCAGATGGAATACAAGGTGTTGTTAAATGTTGTTGAGCTGGTTCCAACTCATAGTGATCCAGCACAGGGTTTTCAAGGAGCAGCTAATGGGTTGAACTGCTGACCTTGTGGTTCATAATCCATTGCTGATCCTACAGTACCACACCCAGTAAGAGGCTGAGAACTGACTAATCTATATGATAAAATATAGCCTTTAATATTTATTTAAGTTTATGCAATGGACACTCATATAAAACTTCCATATGCCAAGAAATGTACTAAGCATTTTATAAAAATTAATTCATTTAATCCTCATTAAAAGGAGCCTTGGTAGCACTTTGGGTAAGTTTTAGGCAGCTAATCACAAGGTTGGTGATTCAAACTCACCATCTGCTCCACTGGAGAAAATTGAGACTATCTGCTCCTGTAAAGATTTATAGTTTTGAAAAACATAAAGAGCAGTTCTACTCTGTCCTATTGCATTGTTAGTAGTCAGAATTGGCTCAATGGCATTTGTGTTTTTTTGAGGGGTTGGTGTTATTGTTAGGTGCCATCGAGTCAGTGCTGACCCATAGAGACCTTATGCACAGCAGAACGCAACACTGCCGGATCCTGGGCCTCACTACTGTTGGCACGCTTCAATCTATTGATGCTGCCATTTGGTCAATCCATCTCTCTGGGGTCTTCCTCTTTTTCTCTGACCTTCCACCTTACCAAACATGATATCCTTCTCCAGTGACTGGTCCCTGCTGACAATATGTCTGAAGTATGAGAGACGAAGTTTGGCCGTCTTGGCCTCCAAGGAGCACTCTGGCTGCACTTCTTCCAAAACAGATCTGTTGGTTTTTTTGGAAGCCCATGGCACTTACAATATTCTCCTCCAACACCATAACTCAAAAGCATCAGTTCTTCTATGGTCTTCCTTATTCACTGTCCAGCTTTCGCATGCATATGAGGTTATTGAAAATACCATGGCTTGGGTCAGGTGTACCTTAGTTTTCAAGCTGGCATCTTTGCTCTTCAACACTTTAAAAAGGTCTTGTGCAGCAGATTTGTCTAATACAATACGTCATTTGATTTCTTCAGCAGCATTTCTACTGCTGCTTCCATGAGTGTTGATAGTTATCCAAGAAGAATGAAGTCCTTGACAAAGTCAATCTTTTCTCCATTGATAAGAAATGTTGTTTATTGGTCCAGTGGTGAGGATTTTTGTTTTCTTGACATTGAGATGTAATCCATACTGAAGGCTGTGCTCTTTGATCTTCATCAGTAAATGTTTTAAGTCATCTTCACTTTCAGCAAGCAAGGTTGCATCATCTGCATGTCGCAGGTTATTAATGAGTCTTCCACCAATCCTGATGCCATGTTTTTCTTTAAGTGGGTAAATTGCTGCTGTCTTGCTGTGCTTGCTATCATTTCTGGTAAACCCAGAAATTTTGACAAGGAGGTGGCCAAGTTAAGATACTATTATCCTGTACAATGTGTGGCTTTACTTATGCTCTGCTGCCCTCGATGGCTAGGAAACAGCTATCACACAAATGCTTGAAAATTCACAATACTGAGTCTAGCATGGACAATAAAAGAAGGAGCTCAAAAGTCACCACTCTGTTTCAAATCCTCTCTCTGCCCCCAGTTTACAGGTTCTTTGACTTTGGCTTAATACTTAATTGTTGTTTTCAGATGTCTTCAAGTTGGCTCACACTCATAGTGACCCCATGCACAACCGACTGAAACCCTGTCCAGTTCTGCACCATCCTCACAATTGTGGTTACACTTATACCCATTGCTGCTGTCACTATGCCAGTGGATCTCATTGAGGTTCTTCCTCGTTTTCAATGACCCCCTACTTAACCCAGCATGATGTCCTTTATTTTACTAAGCCTATTATCTCTTCTATAATAGGAGTAGAATATATGTATATGAAAGTATTTTAATATAATGAGTATTAATCATTAGAATCCTGGCTTTCACAGGGTTGAAGCTTAAACGATTGACTAAGCTCATGAAAGTGAAGTGCCCAATACAAAGTATTCACTCAATATATGTGCACTAGTATTCTAAACAAGGAGCCCTGATAGCATAGTGGGTTACAAGTTGGGCTGCTAAGCGCAAGGTCAGCAGTTCAAATCTACCAGTGGCTCTGTGGAAAAAAGATGAAACTTTTTGCTCTCATAAAGATTTAGAGCCTTGGAAATGTTATACAGAGTCAATACGGGTCAGGACCAACTCCACAGCACACAACCACCACCACCACTAGTGTGCTAAGCAGCCCAATAGCACAGTGGGGAAGTGCTCATCTGATAATTGAATGACTGGTCAGTAGTTCAAATCCACAAACTGTTCCATAGAAGAAAGATGTGGCAGTCTGCTTCTAAGAAGATTGCAGCCTTGGAAATCCTACTGGGCATTTATGTGAGTTGGAATCAACTCAATGACACATAAAACAATATTGTGCTACAAATCTTAAGCTGAAGTGTCTTTTAAAACATTCTTAGATTTATTCAGATTAGTTACATTTAAGGACCCTTGGTGGTGCTGTAGGATAAGGTGCTGTAGAATGCTAAACACAAGGTTGGCAGTTCCAACCCACCAGTCACCCCACAGGAGACAGATGAGACTTTCTGTTCCTATAAAGATTTATAGCCTTAGAAACCCTATACAGGGTCAGTGTGAGTTGGGATTGACTCAGTGGAAGCGGGTTTGGTTTGGGTTTTTTGGGTTATGTTTAATGAAGATGAATGCATGCTCCAAAAATAAATAAGAGAAAGAATCTCAACAAATAAATTGATACAATGGCTAAATAGGCTCAAGTATAGCAGTGATCATGAAGATAGTACAATGATTATGAAGATGGTACAATGATTATGAAGATGGTACAATGATCATGAAGAGGATACAATGATTATGAAGATCATACAATGATTATGAAGATGGTACAATGATCATGAAGATGGCACTGTTTCATTCTCTTGAACATAGGGTCGTTACGAGATCAGGAACCAACCTGATAGCACCTAACAACAACAAAAACAACAGCATGTATTCTCCAGAGTAGTTTCACACAGAAATACCACAGTAACTCAGTAAAGCATTGACAAGATTTAGGCTGAGATCACCTCTACTATGGCTTCAGCTCCCATCAATACCAATTAAGAGTTATGTAGCTTGTCAGCATAAGCTAGGGACATGAATGCTCACCCTAGTATAACCACAGATCTATCATGTCTCCTGGAATATATCATTGTACCTTTTTCTAAGTCTTATCACCTGAAGAAGTGGTGCTACAAAAGCTAACTTAGCAGAAGTAGCATTAAAGAATAGCATTCAGATCACTTGTTGTTAGAGTATATTTGGTAAATGTAAAAGGATATTCCATTTGAAATAGAGTGTCACTTGGCATGTATATATTTAGAGTAAGCTATTTACCTGAATTCAAGTACATGGATGTTCTTATAGCCTGGTAACCCAGTGAATGCATTTTCAACCTGTTAAAAATAAAAATAAGTATGTAGAAATATGAAAAAGTATATAGCATGCAATGCTTTTAATAATAGAATAAAAAATGCAGTGTTTATAATTATAAAAAGCTTGTACACAAATATACACACTGTAGATATTGCACATGGGATAGTAAGTCATATGAGAAAATTATGGAAACTAAAATGATGGAATATGACTTTTACATATATTACTACTATATTTTTTAAT